GGGTGCTTACCGTCGGGCCTCCGATATAAGTGCGTTGAAATGTCTCTCCCAGGCGTACATTTTGATGACTCGCATGCCTTTTATGATTTCATTCATCAAACGTATCCTATTGTCCGAAAGTGCCGACACTCTTGTCCTGTAATTTAACCATCGATTCATTCATTAGTTTGTAAATCATTTGACAATTCAAGACCTGATTTTGAGAAACAGTCGACCCATAAGGCTATTGAATGGTATGAAACACATGAGTATTGCGAGTCCTATGAGTGAAACCCAACCGATATATTGCCAACAGATGTAAACACCGATTATGGTGTTTATGGGGCCCACAATCAGATACGAACAGAATTGGCTGTACTGTTAGGATAGGCAGTGAATATTGCGAGTCCTATGAGTGAAACCCAACCGATATATTGCCAACAGATGTAAACACCGATTATGGTGTTTATGGGGCCCACAATCAGATACGAACAGAATTGGCTGTACTGTTAGGATAGGCAGTGAATGAGTGATGGGGTAATCAATTTGATGTTATTATTGGTGACAACACATACATCATCCAAACGGCTCACATCGTTGGACATTAAGTTCAATATCTGTCCGATTGTTGTCTTACCAAAAGCCGAGTGCTTTAGTTTTAAGGCCTATCCGTTGTGGTGAGTGAGAGAGAGAGTGAGAATTACATGTATATTGAAATTTGATGTTAAATGATAACAAGTGTTAACTGAATGATTAGCAAAACAATGAACATGATCAATTTGAAATCTAAACTGACCTTCTTGTACATGAGAGCACACCAACAGACCCTTATTTTAACGGCCACTCTGTAGGCGAGGAAAAAGGCCGGATGTAAGAAGGATATGAATATGAGAGAACTGGCCACCAGTGCGCCCGCGAACACACTCGCCCTCCACAAGCTCTCGGTCTCCGGGTTGGCGAAGAACCGCAACACATATCCCAACAAAATGGTCTTTCCGTTATCGATGACACACTCCTTAAGGTTATCATACGATACAATGTTTACAATATATTACACTTTCATGAATATTCTGTAGGCATTTACAAATTACAATCTGTTTTTAGTGAACATTTTTTGTTTATCAGTGTTTACTTTACGACAACTAATTTTTACGGCTTATTATTATTGTTTGTAAAACACACTTACAGTTAGTGCATAAGTTTATCAATTATCACTCTTTTCTAACTATAATTTGATATTACAATAGATATGCTCTAATTAGGAAACCTTATATTACTATTATTTATAACAAGTATTTTATGCCTCAATCATAGGGTAATTATTATAGATGTAATTAAAAGTTATAATAATGAGATAATGAATACCCCGATGAAAATGAGTATAAATGATGGCACTAATGGTCCGATAAATGTCTTGATCGTCGCCCGCATAAAACTGGGGCTCTTTTTCGTGAGCTCTCGATTCCAATTGCTTTCAAAAATAGGAGTTTTGCCGCAAAAAGGTTTTATAATTAGTTTCATATAATATATAAATGTTTTGTTTTTTTGTGGTTATGTTTTAGTATTTGTTTTTTGCATTACTTTTCGAGTTTGTGAACAAGTTTTTCGCAGACATCACTGTCGGGACACTTGTATAAGTCGGACATTTGGACGTCCCGTTTGAGGCCACGGATGAACATCGGGTACAGCCATCTGTTCGGCACGTGTTTAATGTCAGAGTGAGTGTGTGTGTGTGTGTGTGTGTGTGTGTGAGAGAGAGAGAGAGAGAGAGAGA